ACCGCGCCGCTGCAGGCGAAGACGTAGGTGCGTCCACCAGCTCCCATGATGTGAAAGACGCCGAGACGCTGCAGGCTGAAGGTGAGGCGCCCCCTACTTTCTTTTGTTGGTTTTGCGTGTTATTTTCTACAGACTTACTGAGGAGTCACGCTGTGTCCTGCAGGGGGAAGCACTGCTCCTCTGGCTCCTCTGGCTGCTGATACTGCGCCCTCTGCTGGTGCTGTTGGAGCACCCCATGAGGCTAGACCAGAGTATTACATGGTGAAGTGGATCACGTGGAAGGAGAAGAAGACGCCCATCATCACACAGAGCGAGAACGGACCCTGCCCCCTGCTGGCCATCATGAACACACTCTTCCTGCGCTGGAAGGTAAAACTGAAGATTAAAACCACAGTCGAAACAAGAAAATCATTTTGTTGTTGTCAAAAACCTAACTGTGTGTGTGTGTGTGTGTGTGTGTTCAGGCCAGTCTTCCCGCTCAGACTGATGTCATCTGTGCTGAAGAACTGATGAGTCACCTGGGTAAGAAGAAGAAGAAGAAGAAGAAGGAGGAGGAGGAGGAGGAAGAATCTGAAGACATTTGATCAAAATCCTAACAAATCTGTGTGTGTGTGTGTGTGTGCAGGGGAGTGTGTGTTGTCTGTTACACCAAGAGAGAAAACTGATGGGATGGAGCTCAACTTTCAACAGGTGAACACACACACACACACACACTTTACTGTAGTGTATGTCATACTGCTTTGTTTTATATTAGCTTTAAAATGTAATGTGTGTGTGTGTGTGTGTGTGTGTGTGTAGAACATGACTGATGTCATGGCCGTCCTCCCTAAACTGTCGACAGGCCTGGATGTGAACGTTCGTTTCACAGGGGTGACAGATTTTGAGTACACACCCGAGTGCATCGTCTTTGACCTGCTGGACATTCCTCTGTACCACGGCTGGCTCCTCGACCCACAGGTTTGTAGCCCACACCAGCAGAAGGCACGACAGTTATATTTAAACATCATTACGCAATTGTCACAGAGTGGACAATGGTGTGTGTGTGTGTGTGTGTGTGTGTAGAGTCCACAGACGGCAGCTGCTGTTGGGAAACTGAGCTACAATCAACTGGTTGAGAAAATCATCGACTACAAACATTCTCCAGACAGCAGTAAAGTCAGTGAAGGTAACACACACACACACACACACACGTTCACAGACACACAGACACACACAGTCGTCTTGGTCTTGACTGTGTGTGTGTGTGTGTGTGTGTGTGCAGGTCTGTTAGCAGAGCAGTTCCTGGAGTCCACGGCCACTCAGCTGTCGTACCACGGTCTGTGTGAACTCAACACCACAGTGAAGGAAGGAGAGATTTCAGTTTTCTTTAGGAACAACCACTTCAGTACCATGATCAAACGCCAGGTGGAGACAAACACACACACACACACTAACTCCACACAGACAGAGTGAACACGGTTGTTAACGCAGGTCCGTCGTCCTCTCAGGGACACCTGTACCTGCTGGTCACTGACCAGGGCTTCCTCCGGGAGGAGGCGCTAGTCTGGGAGTCCCTTCATAACGTGGAAGGAGACGGAAACTTCTGCGACTCTGATTTCAGATTGTGTCATCAGAGAACTCCGCCCACTTCCCTTCTCCCGCCGTCTGCTCAGGACCAGCAGAGACAAATCGACCAGGTGAGACAGACGCAGACCAGCTGCTCTGGTGGTCCGGTCCAGTCTGACCTTGTCCTCTCTCTTAGGACTACCTGGTTGCAGTGTCCCTGCAGCAGCAGCAGGGCGGCGTCCCAGGACCGCTTAGTGACCTGGAGTTAGCTCGACAACTCCAACAGGAAGAATATCAACAACAACAACAACAACAACAACAACAACAACAACAACAACAACAACAACAACAACAACAACAACAACAACAACAACAACAACAACAACAACAGGGACAGACAGCAGCACAGGTAACCCCGCTGCTAACACCGCTGCTAACATTAGAGCTAACACCGCTGCTAACACCGCAGCTAACATTAGAGCTAACACCGCTGCTAACACCGCTGCTAACATTAGAGCTAACAGCGCAGCTAGAATTAGAGCTAACACCACTGCTAACAGCTAACGTGACAGCCAGTGCCTGAACCCGTTGACTCAGCGTTCATTTTGCTGTAATGATCATGTGACTGTGTGTGTCTTCACAGGTGAGAGGTCAGGGGTCACAACAGGGCAGGAGGAGAGACAAAGACTCAGACTGTGTCCTGCTGTAGACTCATCTTCGTCATCGTCATCGTCTGACCCGTGCCTACACTCACGTCTGTCTGCCACAGGAAGTCATGTGACAGCAGCGTCTCCACCTTTAACTCACTGCTACAGAATAAATAGTCATTTAAAGATTTTACACATTATTCACTGTTCATACAGCAGAGGTCAGGTTTAGGGTTTTTTAGACTGACTGAGATGAGAGCGCCCCCTACTGATATAACCACTAGCTCTGGGGGAAAACTCGTTACGTTCCCAGCTTTTTCTTAGTGTTTTCTACAGGACGGTGAAGTTACTAAACCATTGACACTCCCTTAGCTCAGTGACACAATCTGACCAAGGGGGGGCAGTAGTGGACCAGCAGCTCCTGTGTCCCTCTGAGCTAAAAATCACTGATTCTGTACTATGGACTTTGCTGCTAAAAAGAAATATCAGTCTGCCAATATACCTTATAATGGTCCTAGCAGCAGGGGGCGCTGACAGTCAGCTCTGTCGATAACATCAGCTCCTCAAAGAACCACACTTTAAACAAATTTGTCAGCCGAAGTTTGTGGGCCTGCTCTAAAACCAACCTCAGAAAACTGACGGTGCGTTCACGGACAGTTGGTCTAAACTGAAAACCGTTGGTTAAGTTAATTACTCATTTAAAATTGTGACAGAAAACGTTGGTTAATTGTGTTCAAATTGTCTGGGCTGAATCAGTGACGTCACGTCCACGCGTTTGTATTTCCCGTCAGTGAAACCTTTTCTGTGGAACCTTCTGGATGTTGAAGTGACATCTTGCACTCGTTTTACTAAAGAAATGAAGTGTTTGTTTCAGGTGCCATCTGCTGGCATGAGCTGAAACTACAGTTTGTTGGTCACATGACCTGGAAGCCATTTTAAAACTGGTATTTTATATATATATAAATATTAATATTCAGAGGAAAATAAAGACACAGTCCCAAAAAAAAAGTGTTTTTGTTACGAGAAAGTGTTCTATAATTACCTGAAGGTGTGTACTTCCTGTGGGCGGAGTCATAAACTAACATCAGCTGGTTCAGGAGAAAGACTGACATGTCAAAGGTCATGTGACAGGAAGCAGTATTCTGTCACGGGGAGTCAGTACACCAACGCCGCCACTTAACACGAACTCAAACTCGACAACAAAACAACGACCGTGTTTGAATTTCTTTTATTAACAGTTACGTTAAATTCAGTCGATGACGATTCGTATTCTTTCTCTATCGAGTCAGAGACCAGTTCTGGAGATGAAACCCGGAATACATGTTGGGTTGGTTTAAACATTTTCATATTAAGACAAGCCAAGTGTTCAGAAATGACGACCGAGTATTAGGCCACAAAAAAAAAAAAAAAAAGGTGAATACGTTTACAAAAATGATATTAAAAGAAAAAAGTGATGAATTTACAGGAATAACGTAAACGATGAAAATCACTAAAATAAAGTTGAACATTTACATCCAGAAATCTGTTGTTTATGAGAATAAAAGTCTTGTTAGGAGAAAGTCGTACGTTACAGGAATAAAGTTTGAGAAAAAAAATCGTAACAGCTTTCTCTGTGAACATTACGACTTGTAAACGTACATTTTTTTTATTCTCATAAACCGACAACTTCAGTCTGGTTTTTCCGGACTTCCCGCCTCTGTGGACCTGATATTCCGTCATAACAAACATTTAGCGTTCAGGCACTTTTTGAAAGATCAAAGCCACGAAGAAAAGAAAGGCAAAGAAAGTTGCGATGTTGTCGTCTTGTTATTCGTTAAGAGTGCTTTTCCAAATAATCCTTTTAGTTCACTCAAAACAGTAAAAACGTTGGACGTTAAACAGCAAATAACATCACAAACGGCGTTTTAGCTAATGATAGTTTTTGTGTTGTTATTGGTAAATTAAAAACTTTAAAGACGACAAGTCGAAAACCAGTCTGGAGACTCGTAGAAAAGTTTGGACCCGAACGACTTTGTTCGTCTGTTTTGCATTGAAACGTTCTTGTTTTTTTTTTTATCATTTTAATCTCAAGGCAGCTGCTCTCTGTAACAGGAAAAATAAACTTCTTTTACATACGTACATATTCACAATAAAAAGAAGAAAAACTTCTTTACGTCAACATTTGAGTCAGGCTAACAGTTAGCAGGCGGCTTAGTGATTACTGTGCTTCTTCATTAGTGGTCACAAGGAAAACTACAGAGAACGTTAGAGATCGGTTCTACCGCAGCAGAATGGGTCTTCATACTGGGACCAATGGTAGAAAAACTTCCTGGTACCGTTTTGTGGTTCTTAGTGATAGTATATTAACTTATGTATTGTGTCACTTAAAATAGAAATAAAAAATAAAGTAAAAGTTTTGTAAGTCGGCATGACAGGATCTCAGCGTTAGCTAACAATATGGAATTAGCAATGTAGCAAAGGCAAAGCTAAATTTTACTTAATACACTTTTGATGAATGAACATGGACTCACGTGGACTAGCAAACAGCTAACTCACAAAGTTAGCATCATTAACAAAAACCTGGTAACAAGTATTAGCATTTTGTTTCTCGTCAATGGCAAGAAAACGTCGGTTTACGTGAAAAGGTTTTAGTGGAAAAACATTCACATCTTCAGGAAACACAGGACACGACGACAACGTTAACGATGAGGAATCGCACCTTCTCTGAAAAAAAAAAAAGCCTAAAGTAGCGTTTTTTTCTTCATCGCTTCTTTTGAAATGAGCCTCTGACCATTTTTACAGTCACGTGACCTAGACTGAAATATTGCGAAATATCTTTTGAAATATATGCACCATTTGGGTTCGTTTCAACTGTTAAAAGTTAGTCATTCACCAAACAGTTTTAGAATAAAATCGATGCTATGCTTAAATTACTAACAGAAATGTTTACATTTTTACAGGAAACAGTGTTTACGATTTAAAATTAGTTTTAAAACGTTGAATTTCCGTCAATTTCATTTTTACATATTGCCCCTAGTGTTTAAACACATGTACTTCAGGTGTTTAAGCAAAAATAAACAATATTGAATTAACTATACACACTACGAAGTTTGTACCACTCTTAGGCTAGCTAACTGACGTTAGCTTTGAACTTCAGTTTCAACCACGGTTCCGAACTTTTAGCCTTTCTTATCGGAGGCTCCGCTAACCCCGCTGTGGTCAAACAGTTAAACACCGACGTTCGTGTTCCACACAAAGAGGCGCTCTTGTAAAAATATAATTTTATGTAGGTTCAATTTAACGCTAAACATCAAAGTTAAAGAACTTTAGTCCCAACGTGACCTTTTTTTAAACGTAAGTGAAACAACACGATCTCCGGTGGACGTTAGTGTTAAAAACAAGTACGAGACTTTTTTTTTTCCAAAAATATTTTTTTCCGTCTTTTCAGTTCTTTAAAACTATGGCTGGTAAATGAAGCAAAGACCTTTTTGTGTAAACTTATATTGGAATAAAAGTTTAAAACAGCTGCGTTTATCTCTCACCGGGTTGATCTTCAGAGATGGTGCGTTTACTGTCCGTCAGTTAGCTCAGATTAATCCCGGTCGACTGGACTGGTGATGCGGCCGTCAGCCCCGGTGGTCACATGATTCCATTGGTGACATACTGGAAGGAGTCGTACAGTTTGGTGGTGATGGAGCGCATGGAGCCATCGACCAGCTGCTCCACCAGCAGCTGCAGCTGCTCCTCCGTCAGACTCATGTGAAAGCGCTCCTTCAGGCCGCGGATGGTACTGCTGCCATGGAAACAGGGGAGTGGGGAGCCTGCAGTGGGAGAATAACACGGTCCAATCAGATGTTACCATTTAAAAACCAAAGTTTATGAACCACTCAAGTCTACCACGCACCAAAAGTTTATGAACCACTCAAGTCTACCAGGCACCAATCATACCAGAGTCCATGGAGAAAATCAGAGATTTTAGTTCAGACCAAAGTCCATGGAGAAAATCAGAGATTTTAGTTCAGACCAAAGTCCATGGAGAAAATCAGAGATTTTAGTTCAGACCAGAGTCCATGGAGAAAATCTGAGATTTTAGTCCAGACCAGAGTCCATGGAGTAAACGTTACCTTGCTGCATGATCTCCACTATCTGCAGCACCTTCTCCATGTGTTTCCTGGCGGTGATCAGACCCTGCAGCATCAGCATCTTGTAGTAGATGAACATGTCTCCATCCAGACCCCCCATTACCTGAGACACACAAACGCGCGCACACACACACACACACACACAGATGAACACACATGTTCGCGTGCTCAGCGCCCCCTCTCTGTCGCTGTTGGACTAACTCACGTCCACAAACTCTGAAGTGAGTTTAAAGGCTGACGTCTCAAACCCCAGATTCCGTGGAGAACTGGAGAGAATGAAGCCGAAGTCGATGTGAATGATGTGGCCTTCAGAGTCCAGCAGGATGTTCCCGTTGTGTCTGAGTACACAGGAACACAACTTAGTATGAGCCAGCGACACATCAACCTCCAACAGCTACATTCACCTGACCAACAGCCATGTTAGCCTAGCATTAGCGGTGTTCTGACCTGTCTTTGACCTGCAGCAGGTAGCAGATCAGACTGTATCCGGCGCAGCTCTGGACAAAGTTCCTCTGGGCCGACAGGAAACCCTCCGTGGTGTAGCTTCCATGTTCCTGCAGGAAGAAGTCCAGCAGAGACATCTGGCTCTGTTTACGCACCTGGAACCAAACAATAAAAACCAAAACAGTCAGAGAGCTCCAGGAACGCCTGACCTGGGGTCAGGAAGAGGAAGTGACATCAGAGCTACCTGGTGCAGGGAGACGGCGTTGAGGACCGGCTCGATCATCCCACTGTCCGATGACATCACCAGGATCTTGTAGGGTTTGATCCACAGAGGAACGTGACACACCTGCCAGATCATCTGTTCCACACACACACACACACACACCAGTCCACCAATCAGCTGCAGCCAAGTTTACCGTGTGTGTGTGTGTGTGTGTGTGTGTGCGTACCTGCAGCTGCCTCAGCACCTGATAGGCCAGCAGCTCCTGCCTCAGGTCGTCTCCACACTTGACGATGACGGACAGCAGCTTCCAGTTTGGGAGGTGACCGTAGGGAGAGGCTTCTCTGATCCGTCTGTCGCCACCACAGTCACAGTTAGCAACACAGCTAAGAGGCGCTAACAGGTAGAGCTAACAGCAGTGGAAATATACACCAGTGACCTGACCTGACTTTCTCCTCCCATGGCTCCTTGAGGGCAACTGCAGATGGATCTTCAGGGTCTCTCCTGAAAGATGTCGGAGTCTGGGCCAGATTCTCTGACAGCCGACGTCTAAACCAGCAGAGGGCAGCAGAGTGCTTAATACATGTGTTAGAAACTGGTTTTACATTTATAGCACATGTTAGCCTGAATGTTTTAGCATGTGTGAGCGTGTTAGCATTAGCCTGATAGCTTGTCAGTACCTGATGTCTCCTGCTGCAATAAAAACGGGTTCTTTACTCTCCAGGCTGGTGATGCTGTCCACTGAGAACTGACTGATGTTGTCGCTGCTGTTCTGAGTTTCACCCTACACACACACACACACACACACACACACGTCAAATTCCCTCCGTTTTCATTGGCTAACCCTAACCCTGCTCCTCAGCTCCCACCTCCACCTGCAGGTCTCCGATGTCATCGGTCGCCCAGGCCTCGTCGTCGTTGTCGTAGTTTGGCACCGTGCAGAAACTTCCCGCTTGATGTTCAGACACCGTCGAGTTTGCGTTGCCGACAAGAACTCCCCCGCCAGTGCTGCAGTCCAGGTTGTCAGCCGAACACGCAGAACGGATCCTGGTCTCTGGAATTCTGGCGGGAACGAGCGAGGTCTCAAAGCTGTGACACTCTAGAACCTCCACGTAGATGATGTACGGCGCCTGAGGACGACAGCGGTTAGCTTACCCTGCTCAGTTAGCTTAGCTTTCTGCAAGGTAGCAGCAGAGATAACTGAATGGGATGACGCTAAAGGTTAGCATACATTTAAGCAGCTAACACCAAGTTAAATGCATAAACGTAAATACATCATCGGTATAGCCGCCTGTGCTAACGTGGCTAACAGTGTTAGCAGTATTCACCTTGTCCTTGGAGTTGAGGACCACAGCCTGCGTGTTGGGGATCCGGCAGACGTGGTGCTGGGTCTCCGCCGTCGGCAGCCACACTCGCGCTGGCAGCTTGTGGTTGAGCAGGGAAAGTTCGGAGATGAGGCGCTGTGTTTTCTGCTCCTTGGTCGGCAGTGTGGCCAAACGCTTTCCGATGCAGAGCAGTGATTTGACAAACTCCCGCTGAGGACGGAGACGCTCTGGCTGCAGACGGAGAAAGAAAAGGGCCGTGAGTTCTGGCGCTGTCAGGAGCGGTACAAGTCAAGCTAGTTTAACGAATGCTTCTTTAGCTACTGCCGTGAAAACGCTACTGTAGCTTCAGTAATGATTGAAGTAAGTGCTGGACTTAGACAGCTAACATAGCTTTAGCATCTCTGTTTATTCAGCCACTGCTTTAGCACCATAGCTTAAGTAGCAGCTAACGTTAACAAAAAAAAAGTGAAAAAGTAAATGTTTGATTGACAGCTGTGGCTCCACCCTCACCTCCTGATGAGACGCCTCCACCCTGGGGTTACTTCCCGTCCGCCTCAGGCCACTGCCGGTACTTCCTGCTGTGGTGGCGTCAGACTTGGACCTTTGATGTGTCCGTGTGGACGGGGACGTGCGGTTGTCCACGTCCGCCGCAGGACCATCCCTGAGGGGGGAGTTACCCGTGTCCAGGTTGGTGCTGTGGTGCCGGCGGTGGCAGGACGGCGAGGACGTTGGGCTGTCAGCGAACAGCTGCGTGGAGTCAGGTTTCAGTTGCTCTGATAGGATGAGTTTCCTCAGTTTGGTTCCCCGGGAGTGACGCTGCGTGGAGATGTGCATGTCTGAAGACAGCGCCCCCAACAGCCAGGCTGAGAGCAGGGAGAAGGTGATGCTGCGTCTGCAGCGGTGAAGCTGAGGACGAAGAACACAGTCGCCGACACGATTGTTTAACCGTCAACGCAACGTATATCTAACATCTTCACAAACCAGCCTAGCTGTGGTTAGCGACACTGCTAACTATTAGCTGTGGTTAATAGCACATACCAGGTAGGGTCTGATGGCCTGTCCCACCTCCGTGTCCATGTGCACGTACATACTGAGCAGCTGCGGCAGGTAAAAGTCCACCTCGGAGTCGGTGAAGCTGAAAAGTCTGTTTCCGATGTAGGCCTGGACGCCGGCCTCCTTCGACTTGTACAGGTAGGAGATCGCCATCGACACGTCGAACAGCTTTGACTCGAACAGACGCAGAAGCCACGATTGCTTGGATGATGCCGATGTCGATGAAGACGGGAGCGGGACAGAAGGAGGCGGCGCCGGTTGTCGTCCACTCTCCTCCTCGTCTTCTTCTTTGATGGAACTCGTCTCGGCGACAGACGACCACGCGGCGCCCAGGCTGGAGCTGCCACCCCCACGTTGAGTCTCCAGTTCCTGTTGTTGTAGTTCGGAGATCGGGCTGTGCTGCAACTTGACTTTGAGCAGAACTTCTTGACATGCCTTCAGCGCCACCTCTGGGTCAATCACTGCAAGGACAACAGAGCTGCGTTCTTAGGACGTACACGCTGATACACACACAAAAAGCTACTTTCATTTCAGCCTCTACAGCTGCCGTGTTTGAACGTTAGCTTTTGTAGCTAGCAGATGTTCTTATGCGCGACTCTTACCTTGGTCACCTCCAAACTCCACCTCCATGGCGTCCACTGAGACAGTGTCCACGGGGGAACTCTGGCCTCGCTGCCCACCATCACTGGAGATGGCCCCGCCCTCACAGACGTCCCCCTCATTGGCCCCGCCCTCACTGCTGCTGCTGCCGATGCTGCGGCTGCTGCTGATGCTACCGCTAGGGCTGGAGCTGCGTGGGCTAGCGCTGGGCGAGGAATGCTGTTCACCTGGGGAGGGTGGAGGCAGCTGTGGGCGGGGCTGATGATGACGATGATGATGATGGTAGTGGTGGGCGGGGCAGTCGGAGGAGCTGTCGGAGTAGGAGGAGGAGGACGAGGAAGAAGCGCTGGAGGGTGAGGAGGGGCAGGAGAAGGTAGTGGGGGAGGAGACACAGGGAGGCGGAGCAGCTGAGTGGGAGGGGCTGAGATGGAGCGAACGAAGAGCTGGAGAGAGAGACACTTCAGTGTCGGCCATTTTGAAAGACAGACCTGAAACAGAAGAAAGAAAAACAAATATTTGTTTACAGTATATTAGCACACTACGGACCAGCAACATGTTAGGCGTACATGTGTGTACCATGTGTGTACCATGTGTGTACCATGTGTGTACCATGTGTGTACCATGGTACGCTGCACACTGTCGGTACTACAGACCACTCTGACATTTCTTTTTTTTGTCTGTTCTGGATCGTGAAGTTAACTGATGGTTGAACCACTGGTTTCCTGCTTATTTTTGCCCTCTTCTTATTGGATGAACACACGCTGTTGTTCTTTTGTGTGTGTGTGTGTTCCACGCAGGAAATGACATCATAGGAAACACCTGTAACATAAGTAACTGTTGAGAACGCACACTCTCTTGGTTTACTAACTTTTGTTCCAGTGATTTTAGTGAAGTATTTCCGACTTCTCCACTTGTTCTGATCCGACCCTGGTGTCCGTGGTCGTCAGTGGTTCTATTGGGGTTGAAAGAACTTCACTCATTAGGCTAACTTTAGCTTCTTACTACTAATTTCAACAAAATATAATAAATGACAGGTAGAAACTACAAGGCAAATTTGATCTAGTTTTTTTTTTCTTAATACTTATCTTTTTAAGTAATGTTTTTATGTTGTTTTTCTTGTTATTTCTTAGCCATTTTGCCATCCTACTGACCCGACCTGGGTCCCATCCATCACCCATCCATCACCCATCCATCCAGACGTAACTGGGGTCACGCACACAAACAAACGCACATACGTTTAACTTCAAGACCTGCTGTTACCGTCGGGACTCGGACTGCTGACCTTCTTGCTGTAAAACAGCAGTAACAGCCACCCATCCACAGCTTGGCTCCCGTGTCCAAACCGTGGGCCAGTCTAACAACGCGGCCGTGTTCGGTGATAGCAGAGTAATAGCCGTTAGCATGACGACAGGTCACAGCCATCTGCTAACTTCACCTGTGTGACTTAACTTCGTTAACGACACCGACACTCACACTATTGTGTGTTTTTTAAGTTTACGATGACGTCGTGATGACGTTACCAGCAGCAGTGACCGCTCCCTCCTGATGAAAACAAACGTGAGCAGCTGCAGTAGAACCGGGCTCAGACCAGGCCCACGGCCCGGAACTGAACTTGAGTCAAAGCCCTCTTCAGCGGGGAGAACACGGACCAGAACCTGGATTCGAACCCCGAGAAATTAATGTTTAACAGACAGAAAACCGAGGGGAAGGTACCGGATCAGCGAAGAGTCCTAAGTCCGCTGGACGCACTGCCTATCACCGGCCTTTAACCAGGGTCCACTGCAGGGTTCGGCTCCGATCCGGTCTCGGAGAATTCAGGGTAGTTTCCGTGTTGTGATCCGGGTTTGTTTTGGGTTTCAATCCCAGATTTTATCCCGGTGTGAGGTGCTCTGAAGAACCTCCATCTGCTCCAGCTTTAAAGCCTCAGTGACGCAACATCCGTCAAGTTACTGCGGGCGGAAACGAGTGCCATTTCCGGTGAGGTTTGTACAATAAAGGACAGAAAACCTAATCTGTCTGAAAGACGGGAAGGTGCAGATACATTTAAAGGGGAAGTGATTAAAAACGGACGACTCCGAAAAATACTTCTGTTTGCACTTTTCTCTGGAGCTAATCGTTTATAGGTGTTCGTCATGGTTGTGTTTCCGGTGGGGATCACCCCCGACCCCCGTGGTTTTAGTGGGTTTTAGTTGTGGGTGAAATTTAGTCCTAAACAGAAAAATTAAGTTAGATAATAATTACTGTAGATTATATGATCACGGTCATTTGTATGTAATATTAATACTAAACTGAATGATTGTATTTAAGACTGAACCGAAGGAAGACGTTGTTATTGATGTCGAGCAGTTCACCACCATACAGTCCTAGTGACATTAAACGTTATGGAGTGAGCAGGGCTTCAGTCCAGGCTACAAGTTCTATGGAGTGAGCAGGGCTTCAGTCCAGGTTTGACCATTTTTGTAGCAATACTACAGCTATCATTTAGTGGAGAGAGTTTGGCTCTCTAAAAACGTTTGGTTTTTATTTATTTAATCGTCTGAGAAGATTTTCTCGGTTTCTTTGTCAAAATTAAGCGTTTTCTGGAGGTTTAATTAAGGAAAATACAATGTAATTTATCAATACAAATAAATATGACTTTAATATGAGCTGGAAAATAAAACATTAGAGAAGAGTACGTTATGTTTTTCCTTTATTCCTTAATTAGCGTAGGAAAATAGATTCACAATAACAACCTTCCTCTCTCACACACACATAGACACACACACACACACACACACAAATAAAAGGTGCATTTCACTCAGTTTCTGAAACAGAGGACCAACTTCTGTCCTTCTTCTTCTTCTTCTTCCCACCTGGACCAGTGTGGACTCTCTACAAGTTCACCTTCAGGAATAAAAGTGCAAATAAAAAAAAAACTCATAGTAAAACATGCAGGGGAACGACAGCGTCGTCGTAGCAACAGGAAGTTACATCCCATAATAACAGCATCAGAATTAAATAAGCACAACCAGACGAGCACGAGGACGAAGGATCTGACGACGAGAACCAAACGATCAGGGCAGAAACAGTTCTGGTTCCACATGCAGAAAAAAGACACAGGAGGCGGACGGCTGAATGGAATCTGAACATTGTCACCTCAATGTTCTGTCGTTCTGTCAAACTGTAATCAGCGACGTCGTTCTGCCATAAAAATACTGAAAAATTATTCATGAACAAAATAAAGGGTGTGTGCTAAAAACCAACCCAGAACAGGAAGTAACATCAGAAAACATAGCGTCGTAAAGCCGGCTCCACAAAAGGTCAACTACCCGAATCCCGATCCTTAAATCTTTATTATTTGACCCGTTTCTGTTTTTTGTTTTTTGTTTTCTTTTTGAGCAACATGGCTCCACAGTGATTGATTCCAGACATTTGCACAATGTCGCCCCCTACCTTAATCTCCTGCTAAAATATTTCAATATACTTCAACAGTTTGAACTGGCATTAACAACAGAAACAAGAAAAATCCACAATAATCCAGCAAAACAGAGCAGGTGGAGGTAACCAAGGGGCGGGGCTTAGTCATACGGAGGGGCGGGGTTTAGCTGTATGGAAGGATGGGTGTAATTGGTACTTTGATTTGGCAGTAGTTGTTCTCAGGAGACCAGATCAGTTCACACCAGTTTGTGTTTTTGTTTTTGTTTTTTTTTTATTTCTGACACACGACCCACGACTGACCTGGTCACAGACTGGGTCAGAACGGCGCTCCATTTAGAGGCTATTCATGGTGTTATGACTAATGAAGCTGTGCAGTGAAGTAGCCTCGGACAGAGGTGGGGGTCAGCATGTTTACAGAGGGGGGGGGCGCTCCAGTTCAGCATTTATCACTTTGTCCCCAAATTGACTCTTAACATTACAAGTTAACAAAAACAAACTCAGCTTTGTTAGCCCTCTTCCTTATTTACCTAGCAGCTAACGTGAGCCTAGCTACACTCACTTCACAGCAAAGTGCTTCGCCGTCACGCGACAGAAGACGTTAACAGTCCCTTCACTTCCTCGTGAACACTCACGCACGTACGGATCCATCACATGGCAACGTGCTTTTTTTGAAACTGCAGGATTGAACGCGACGGCGACATCAAACCCTCACTTGTTTTTCTTAGCACCAATGAGGACTAACGCCACACCTGCACGCAGCCACGAGTCGGTTGGCAAGAAAACTCCTCCTCCAATCACAGACAGGGGTCTGTGGTTTCTTTTCCAATCATTTTACCCTAGACCTGTGTGGTTCTCACAGCAACAAATAATAATTTAATTTTCTAACCAATCATTGTACAAGTTCTGTTTCACTCTTTTTCTCACACACACACACACACACACACACACACAGGTTCCTTTTTCAGTCAAACAATTCCCAAGGAATTCTTTTTTAAACCACTCTGTTTTTGTTTTTTTAAGTCTCGACTCTTACAGACCAAAGTTAATTCACACATTATCTGTTGAACTGGTTTTTACGCATCGTTTTCAGATGTTTTTTAGACTTAGACAAAAGCAGATTTTATGATCTGAGTTTTTTTTCTTATTAAATCTATTTTTTATTTATGGCTCCGGTGTAATGTGGCTTTTTTTTTTTTTTTTTGCCAGACTCGACATGAAGATGAACTGAATCACCGTTTAGTCCCTACTCCTCCTTTTCAAACCTCCTTCTTTGTTTTTCACCCTCTGGAAGACAACAGGAGGTTCAGAGACCAAGGAGAACAGGAAGGAAAGGCTTGAAAGGAGATAGTAACTGTGAAACATTTGGCAGAGGAGGTCGGAGGTCGGAGGTCGGAGGTCGGAGGTCATACACACACACACACACACGTGCATACAGCAAGGTTCTGGCTTCATCCATCCTCGACAGAAGCTCGACCGTCCTCCATCTTGGATTTCCGCCTTTGTTGCTGAAGCATTTGAGGTGGGTGGGGCTACGGCTCCTCTCTCTTTGGCTCCACCTCCTCCTTCTCCTCTTCGCTCATTTCGGATGTGGCCGCAGGGGTCGAGCTACAAGTGGGTGACGGCGTGGGGCTGACCTGCGCCTCAGCGGGCGACAGTGTGACTTCTACCTCTGCCGGCTCCTCGTGGAGCGTGGGCAGAGGAAGAGGAGCGGCAGGAGGAGACGGAGGGCGGGGGGGGGGGTGGGGGGCGGTGCCGGCCGCCGCGGTGGCGGGGGTGTTGTTGTTGCTGTTGTTGCTGGGCCGAGGGACTTTCTGGATGACCTCCACCATGCCGCTGCGCCGTGAGGCCGCCAGCTTCCAGCTGGGGTTTCCTGGAGTTTGCAGCAGCAGCAGCGGTTGACGACCCTGACGCGCGGGCTCCGCTGAGGCATCGGCGCTCGGCTGACACTGGACGACCACACCGCGGTGCTCCGACACAGCGGGCAGAGGAGTCGGAGACAGAACCAGCCGAGGCTGACTCTGGCGGTTCAGAACGAGACCCGAATGGTCTTGGATTACATGCAGCTCCAGGACGGGCTGCGAGGATGACGACGAGGCTTTCTGGATGACGCCGCTGCTGCTCACAGACGTGATGAT